ACAAACGAAGTTGCAGATTGGGACAAACAGAAAAATCAGCAGGAGCGGAGCACGCACTGCTAGACGGCCACCAAATACGCTTCGACGAAGTTGACATTCTGCACCAATCTGAAAGATACTACCCGAGACTCACCAGAGAGGCCATCGAAATATTTAAACACCAAAACAATTTTAACAGAAAAGGAGAAATTACGGCACTCAATCCAGATTGGAAGCGCGTTTTGCGCCAAACAGCATGTGCGCCGAAGCGTTGGAACCCCCACCCATCCCCCCCGCACGAGCACACACGGCTGGGCTGCATAAATAAGACGGGGAATCCAGCAGTTGAATCAGTCTTAGTCGGAAAGCACGGGAGATCACTTCGCCCACTGCCTCATCGCCTTTGATAAAGTCCACCGCAGTTGTGGACGAAACGTCAGGAAGAAATTCCCATAGACCACGGCTTCAAAGCCCGGAAAGCATTCCTAAATTTGATTTAATCGGCCGTGAAAGCCTTCATAGTCTGATAATCATTAGTGTTCTTCTATTCTCTGCACTATATTAATGAGCCCATGCTCGTCTTTTGCTATTATCAGGGTCTTTTATTTATCACTGGAGTACCGTAGGTTGTTAATTTGTTTGCCGCGAACGGTACCATCCACTCTTCACAAATCTCCCTGATATGTTGAATTCACTATATATATTGAAGAGAAGGGGAAATAAAATGCAGGCCCTCAATCCAGCAGCAGTCGAGAAGGTGTCTGAGAGGGTATAATTGACTCGTACCCTCGCCGTGTTTGATCTATATAGTACTTCGATTAGGTGTATCAGATGCTTCGGTGTTCCTATCTCGGCAAGAATGTTCCAGAGCTTCAACCATTTTACCTTGTCAAAAGCCTTTCTATAGTCCACGAAACACACGATAATTTTAACATTAAGTGCCCTGGTTTTTTGGATGGTGTGTCGAACGTGTGTCGAACGTGTCAAGATCTGTCCTCGAGTTCCTTTCCCTGAAACAAATGCGGTCTGTTGGTCTGGTAGTTGTCTGAGCAGAAAATTCTTCAGCTTCTAGTTCAGTGTCCCGAGCATGATTTTATTGGCATGAGGGATTAAGGATATCGTACGATTGTTTTCACAGTCGAAAGGAGAACCGTTCGTATATAAAGGCAATAAAATGGAATGGCACCATTGTTCTGGCCAGTTCCCAGTCGTCCAGATCTTCTCACATATGCTGTGTATGATGGATATCCCCAATTCGCTATGTTTCTCTATACTTCAGCAGTGATTCTATCGCAACCTGCGGCTTTCTGATTTCGCGGTTTTTCACTGCTTGTTCCACTTCCCCCTTAAGTATTATTGGTTCGAGTTCTTCGCTTGGGTCTCCGGGATCGGGCTGTAGCCCATCTTGGAAGAGTTCTGTGCAATACATCAGCCACACACTAGCAAGGCTTACCATAGAGCTCGGTGGAGCGGTTTTCTATTGCATGATTCTCTAGTTCTACACATATTCTGTCTATCTGATTATTTTTGTCTCTACTCATGTGGTTCGAATAGCCCGTCATTTTTCTATTAATGCCACTGTCTCATCTTCGAGAGTCTAATCTTTTAAGATTGTTGGTATACTGTTAGCTGGTTCAGTAATCCATTTCTCAGCACTCCTCCACACTTGATCCGAGCCTCCTTCCAGTTGGGGAAGTCCACTGTTTCTGAGGCTTCTTAAAGATTATTGGTTCAGGAGCACTAAGTCTTTTGGTCTTTGCTTTATTTATTGTAAACTTTGCTTAAAACAGACTAAATTATGGTCGGTTCCGCATTCAGCGCTTGGTTTTGTTTAGACGTTGCGGAAGGAGGTTCTTCATCTTTTGTCGGCGAGGATAGAGTCGATTTGGTTTTTGTAGGACTGTCCATTGAGAGATGCCCACGTGTACAAACGTCGTGGGTGGTGTTTGAATATGGTTTTCATTATAGTTCGATTAATATCAGTGGCATATTTTATTAATCTGTTGCCTCATTGGTTTCGTTCTCCCAGGCCGTGACCCACTATGTCTCGCAGATGGTCGTCCGATGTTGTTCTTCCTACCTTTGAGTTAAAATCTCCCAGTACTATCACGATACCTTTAGGCTTGAGAGTGGGCATAGTATTTTCGACGATCGTCGATGTGTTTAAATCTTCTATCTCTTAGTGGTTTCTCTGAGTGGAAGGCATGTATACAGACTCAAGAATAGTATTTTTCCTTGGGGCGTGTACCTATTTGAAATGTAGTGAAATTTTTAAACAATAAATTTTGTGTGTGAAAGATGCGCTTTTGTAAATCTCCAATTCTTATAGAAAATGCTAACATCGTCACTGTTTCTTTCAGAACGTTGAATTGTTGACAATTAAGTAACACCCAGAGCGCCTAAAAAGGGCAACACAATTTTTAAAAAAGTCAAAAACAAAAATGGTGGTAATTTGCATGTTTCACTTAAAATGCTCTTACAATATATTTTATTTGCACCAGACCTTAGCCAACACCATAAATAGATAAGGGTCAAATGGATCAAAGGGTGATACGTTAGTTTGGGTTTTTGGTGTGAATAACCATGTTCTCCATCTGCCCAGACAGTAAACCAGACAAGCGAGTGTCGGTGAAAATATGCTTGATTTGTGAAAGAATGATAAAAGCTGAAGGTAAAATATACATGAAAAAATCATCTTAAGTCAGTCAGTCATCTTAAGTTTTCCCAGAACGTTATTCCATTACACCCACGTTAATAAATAGATGCAGAAATGTTCACTATGCCAAATTTGAAAAGCAGTTTCTGTAACTAAATTCAGCTTGATTCCAAGAAATTGCTTTGGAAAGAAAGACTCACTTTTTCTGTTGTCAACTGAAAGACGGAAATTGCACATTTAGATAAGTGTGTTACTATTTGCAGTAAAAGCAGCTATTTCCACCACCCTGGATAATGGCTGATCAATTTTCATGATTGGCTAAAGCATGATAGAAGTGAGAGATTGCTGGTTCATTCTGAACGCTAAAAAGGCATTGAACCGAGTTAGGAAAGCCACGTAACGCCTCTAAAATTTAATATTAAATGTATTAAAATGCCTAGAACTAGTAACATTCGAGGCTTCTTCGAGGCTGTTAACAATCGATATTCTATTGGTGTGTTTCAAAACCACTTCAGTCAGCGGTACGAAATACGTAGACAAATTAAACTAATTGTTATTAAGAAATAATGAAAGGATGGCGAATAGGCAACTCAAAGCAAAGAAAAGGCACAAAACACGCAAGACAGCAAAAAGTACACACAGACAAATAGGTGTGTAATATAGCAATTGATTCACTTGTAACATTCACACCAATGTCTATACGACTCTATAAACTCACAATTTTGATTCATGATGATAATGTATCTGATTATTTAACAGCTTTCTTGTGCTTTTAAATTGATTACCTACTGGAATTAATAAAACAAATTATTTCTCGTCTTGATTTTAGATCGATAATTTTTTTAAGAAGTTTGGGAAATACTTGAAAAAACAACCAAAGTAAAGTGATAAACTTACTGCAACAATAAAAAGAAGAACTCAATAGAGTTTGCAACAAAGATCAACTGAAGAAGAAGTATCAATCAATTAATTACTATGATTAATATCTGCTACATACTAAGTACTAAATACAAAATCTGGACTTAATAGATTATCATTTTACTGAAAATACACTTTAGATGCCACATATAAAATCCATCGTTGGCGCAAAAGTTCTCCGTTCGTTCGGTCAGACTCATTTCACTATCTGGCAAGCCTCCCATTTGTGTCGTGATTGGACCGAATGTGTCCTTGATGGGTTGGGACTGTATGAATGTTCTTTGCACCAGTGCTGATTCTCAATCAGCTCTTGCAGGGTTCCTTATTGGTATAAGAATATACCCTCATAGCGGTAAAATCTGAACATTTTCCTCAAATTGCATGGCATGTTCATTAGGGTCACGAATGCACTTTATAAGTCGTTGGCAATTCTAATTCCAAAATATCGACCTAAATGCTGATGCGTGTCATCGGCCTACCTGTAAACATTAATGGGGTCTTTGGCACGTTGACCCCAACATGGCTCGGCAACGTTGAAGGTGTCAGTTGCATTTGCCCTAATCCAGATCCCTGGAGGAATTCGGGACGCGATCGCGTGATATTTCGATTCCGGTTCCGGCAATATGCACCCACCTAATTTAACAGTTGTGCCATTCTGCGTTTTCTTTCGGCTTAATCCTAACTGGATGCAATTTGCCTCTCCTGCTGCATGCTGATGTCTTTTCCAGGACTTTGAGCTCGTTTTGTCTTAGTTCTTCGCTTGGCTTCAGTTAATTCTGGAGCTTTTCTGCCGACAATTAGCAGCTGCTGCTAATTAAAGATTAACAATGATTAAAGCACTTTGAGATAGTTGGACTAAATTGAATATGATGGTAAAACCCAACAGCAAATTAACTTATATTTTTGTGTGTTATCCTATGTCTGAGAATTCGTTGTTTTGCTTTATTTTCTATGATTTCTAACGGTCGGTGATAGCGAGGAATCATAATTTGCTTATAATCAATGTAGGGAGAAATATAATACTGAGTTGTCCAGTTTCTCAAGTTTTTCCAGGATTTCCAAAGAGGTGTCTAAAACGTGTCAAAAAAAATGTACTGCCGTTCTTCGCTCAATGTTGTCGAGGAAAGAACTGCTAATTTTTGCAATTCTTGTCACGTTCGCCGTAATTAGTCTATAATATTTGTAGTGTTATCGTGTTCTTGATGTCTTGAGTCAATAAACAGTCCAACTTGAGTTTGCCTTTCATAAAAATACCTTATTGTTCAACGATCGGAGATTGACAAAAACAATCTGTACATTTTCTTAATGATTGCCATCCTTGATATTATTCAAATTAATTAAGCAATATGGAGACAGAATGGGAAATCGATTGATTAAATTAACTTCCAAATAATGTTCCTTTAGTTGCAATTTTCTCCTTAAATGTTTAAGAATTTTCTCCATTTTCACTTAAAATGTTGAAGGATGAATTCCTTCAATCAGTAACAATTTGTTTCATTTGAAATAAATGTTTTTCTTAGAAAGACATCACATTGATACATATTTGGTGGTTTTGGAAGGTGAGAAATTTCAATTTGGTCTTGCTCTTGCAAATATCGTCCTTTCTTTAGAAGAGTCACAACTTTCTTCTGGATGCTTTGCTTTTGTTTAATTTTGGGTTTAAAATCAATTTCTATATCATCTCTGCGTAAAAAGTATTCTGATCAAAGCTGGCTACCCGCAACCGTTTTGGAGCTTTCTTGCTTTAAATTTGATGTATTTAATTCTTCAAAAAGGCGAAGTATTTTGGAAACTATTCTTTCTAACTTGTTTTAATTAGGTACTATAAAAATTTTTGCACATAGATCATAGCAATAAAATTCACAATAAATGTTCACAAAGCCCACGGCCTGCCTCTATGCACCCTACCAATCTTTGTCTCATTGATTCGTTCACTCTTTGGTCAATACCTAAAGTATTTTGAACCGCTCAACAGGAGTAGATATATGTATAATTCGATTTTTTTAGCTCGTGTTTAGTTTATTTTTAGCAGGTGCTGAACTTAGGATTTTAGATGTCTCCAAAGGAAATAATCTAAACTGATAAGGTTTGGTGACTTAGGAGAGCATCTTCTTGCGCCAGCATGGTAAGATGTGTCGGCGCACCGTCATGCATACATAAACCACATTTCATTTCGTACTCGTCTTGCTCGGTTTAGCTCCGCTATTTTGCCGTATTGTGTTCTGCCGCAGTTTTTTTTTAATAGCCAAACTCATTTGAATTGCTATTTTTTCCTTTCAATTTAAGCATTTTCCGTTTTGTAAATATATGAATACGGCCTTTTTAAATAAAAGTTTATTGGCAAAATGCCTTTATCAGCGAAGCCTTTTTCTTAAATTCATCATGTTATCTTCAAATTCTAAAATAAAAAAAATGGTGTGCGTCACGGGACGCTCGACAGAAGTGATAACTTCATAAATTAGTAGAAACCATAAATATTGAACTTGTTTAACGCATGATGGCAATAACAATTTTATTTTATCATTTTAATATTGTACCGTGGATGGCCGAGTATCAAACTCTTTCTTCAGCTTCCAACTTTTATTCACCTCGGTGTAACTTTAAATACGGAACAGGAACAAACTGACTTCAAAGTTACCGTCAACTTCACAAACAATAACAATAACAGACGGAAATCTCGCGGGGTTTAACCTTTTCTGAACTCTGTCGCTGCTGTCACTTCACTTCCCCTGTCTGGTTCTCCTCGTCCCTTATATAGTTTCCTCCAGGTAACCCAGATAGTTCTAGAAATCTCCAGAACAGGTGCGAAACTTCCCGCTTGTCAGTGTCATATTTGACAGTTAATGGGGCCCAAAAGGGGCTCCAATTTACTGAAATACCATGAATTTCGATCCCCCCATTCCAAACGTAAGTACCCCAGGCCATTTCCGTTACAATATTATCCTTGGTTTAATAACTTATATAATAAATATATCAGGAATACGTAAAATGTAATTTAATTTCCTTTTGAATGTAGAATATCTTTTTTATTAGCATTGCAAAGAAGCAAAAAGGCAACGGCAACAATGTATGATCTATGACGTCAGTTGATGAAAGCTACTTTGAGTTGATCTATTACTGAATGCTCATTTTTTAGCACGAAATCGTTTTTGGTGTTTGATATGGTTTGGAACCACCTTTTTCCAAATATCCTAAAAATTAAAAGAATCACTTTTTTTTTTAAAACGCCATGCATATGAATTTCTGATTGCGCAACTTRTTCSTAATTTTACTAATCCTATCTAAYSTACTAATCTTGTACACCCTGTAGACTATACGTAAGGAAATATACATTCTCTTATGATCAGGAGGTTGCTGAATTGTTTTAGCTGTACACTGTTGGCTTTTAAAACATTGATTTAAGAAAATAAGGTGCAAAAATTGAATTTGAAGTTTCTGATTGTGTTAGGAGAGTTATACAGAAATGCGACCATATTTCATTTAAAAATTTAGATGCAATGCAAATTCGAAACTTGCAATATTTCTGTATGATCAAAGAACGGTTGAACCAATTGATCTCTGGTCGTGATTACACTACACCTATTTGGATTTTGCGCTCGCACTATATAAACATTTGAAAAATGTACTTTAACTCGTAGTTAGCTATACGTTCTTGCAACTAAAAGAACACATTTTAATCTAACTCAAGTCACTTATGTATACAATCGCTAGAGCTTTGCTTCACTTCGAAAACGTAATTGATGAGAAGAGCTTTTAGCTCGATTATCAAACTCCATCTCCTTAAATGTATTATCAATTATTATATACTCGCTGATTTATTTGTCATTAAATCGCAGATGTGAAAGTTCCAGGACGCCTTAATTTCCCGAAGCAGACATCTGTCTACTTCAGACCCAAATCGCTTTATCTGCGAATAAATCAAGGCTTGAATTGCTGCCACAAATCTTCAGACCAAATTCCTAAGTTTAAGAGRATTTGAAATTTTTGATATATTTTAGMTCATCTTCCATGATTTTTTTAAAGCATATGCATTGACATCCAGAATATTAGTGTGGATTATGTTATTAGAGTATGCTATTATTTAATTACCTTTTYTAATTTTTTTATAATGTAAGTTTTAAATGTTAGTTTTAAAAGTTTTTAAATTYATTTTTAGTTTTCAGAATGGACGGATCATGACAGAGAAGATCCAACGCAGGGTAAGTAGTTGCAGTMGCAATTACTTGTTAAATGAATGTGGTAACTCTGGATCGAAAGCCTTAAAAACAGGGAAACAGTGGAAGGAAAGGCTAAAATAGAAAAAMTTGCTGATAATAATTATTATAACGGGAATGCCCAAATAGACTCTGTACACTATAACTATGGTCGCACGCCATCAATCTTCTGTCGAGCGGTGTTACCATACCCGCCATAAATTACATATGTTASAGACGGTATGTAGATTAGAAAGAATATTTATTAGACAAAARTATGRATAGCTTARGGAGAAWTTTATCTTGTAGGTACCTACTGTTAGTCACTTTTGTGAAAATTTCTTTTTAGTCAATTTCCAAAAAGATTGTATCAACTTCTCTTATTACTTTTTTATTTTTTKTAAGCATAGATTTTGAGTTTCTTTTTTTTATGTAGGTACCATCCCTATCTATAGACAACTARGTTTGCCTCTATGGGTTGTCTTTTTASAAGACATTCTGTAAGTGGTCAAATAAATAAATAAATAAATAAACAAATGGATGGCGGTGSTAGAGAATTTATGGGTCAGAAAAAATCCTTATTAGCTTTCTGAAAGCTRGCACCCTATCCTCCATTATCTACCCATTAATCCTCAAGAAGCCCACACGACACTTACCACCACAATGAAAGTCCACTCCTAATTGAAAACGTTAATCCTGAAGTATGCAGTCAGAAGAAAGGTAGATATTTTACCGCAGTTGTATTTACTATTAACACTATTATTTTTATCTAAGATCGCGATTCACAGAACACAAAGAACACGCGACCTGTTGGGAACCTGTAGGAAAAACTCTAATCATTGAAAAGGAACATTTTTATAAAGTTACTGAGTGTACCAGAAAAACAGCATAGGCTTTTAGAAATAATTTGGAAAAAACGATATTAATTTCAGAACTTTGGCGCCCTGTAACAAGAAAATGAAGCAATATAGGTAAGTTTGCTTAGATCGTCTTATTTTCGGTTAACGAATTTATAGTTAAGCCTTGTGCAGTTATTTCATGCACACCCTGTATATTAATTACCAGTTGCCACGCCTATTTTTAGGTATGCACATACATAAAATTAATAGAAACAAGTCAATTTCTCCTACACTCGGAATAAAAGAAAAACGATCTGTATAAGCTCCCCATTACTGAATTGGATCTGCTTCTCTTTCCAAACGGTGGATTTACCACGGAATAAAATTACAACTTCGTACATTTCCTCTAAAAGTATTTATTACATCCCATATATTATTTAAAAGGAAGTACTTAAAAATAGTACAAATCGATCTGAAAGCTGAAGGATGCGGATCAAGTGGTGAATTTCAGCTGTAAACAAAAATCTTCTCATCATTTACATAAAGTAATCATAAAGTGACATGTTTTGAAAAACGGGATATTCGAAATCTGTTATTTATGATGATATTTATTTTTGGCGTTAGACGGAAAAACCATGTTGCTGCATTAAAAAGCCGATGAAATAATTTATACGCAGTTACTAAATCCTATAAAATCAACGTAAATATATAGTAAATGCACAAAATATTTTACGGAAACGAAAGATACAAAAACTATTTTTCTAATATTGACAATTTTTTTCAAATATTTTTTTTTCACAAACAACTTATATAAAATCATTTAAACCACATTTTTTAGTTGCTTTCGATATAATTTTACGCAAAAATTTAAGGAAAATTCAAAAAAATATTGCAAAAATCGAAAATCGAACTCTTATAATAATAATTTCGCGACAATTGACTGATGACGTTAAAGCGGATAAATTTTCGTGCTAAGATCGGAAAATTTGCCGGCTAAATTTCGAGCTTCAGGCCACCAAGAACGCCGTTGATTTAAATTGTTCCTGCGGGGCGAAATAATTGGTTCTGATCACCGCAGCTCGATTGATTGGTCGGAATTAAAAGGGATCGAAGCCAACTGCGTATGAGATCATGCACACACATAGACAGTTGTAATATTCGATCCCCATTTGTTGGCTTTTTGATAGAAAAATTCGCATAATTTATCTCATGCTGGGGCATTTTTCAAGACCTCCAGTTTTTCAGGACATTCACAAATACTCGTCAGTCCATCGGCATGGAAGTAATTCGGGCGACAATGTTTATCGCTTGAAATATGGGTTTTTGGTTTACTTACAATAAGGTTTCTGAATGTTAATAAATCACACAAGCAGCTAGCAGGAAAAAGTGAAGCTTTGCTGAAGCTCAAACTGGAATATTCAAATTTTTTCAGAGCTTGCGTAAGTAAAAAGACAGATTATTTTCTCGGGCTGAGCTCAGCACATTTCGATTAATTCGGCACTCTTTTAACCACGTATACTACGACCCCAACTTGCGTTTCCCCCCAATATTCAATGAACAGCAACACAGTCGACTATATGTATGTATTCATTCGGGTTGAGCTTATTGTTCGAATGCTTCGCACATTGTTGTCAACACATGTGAACTAGTCTACTTTTCATCTATTTTTAACTGGATGAGCGTATAAAGTTTGTGTATTATTCTTACACTAAACTTTATAAACAAAAGTTGCAAACTCTTAAAATGGTTTGTCGTCTCCTTTGTTCAGTAGTCAGCGAGTGGCGACGAAAGGCGTCCTTATTACTTTGTATGATGTGCTAAGTGGTTTGCGATGTGACACAGGCCTTTGATTCAGTTACCTGATGGGCCAAGTAAACTTTTTCTGGATAGTGACCTACAATGACCAAGGATTATCGAGTTTTTAGCATTGTTTGGAAAAGTAGGTACCAGGCGAATTAATGTGATTGTTCCATGTTTTTTGTTCTTAAACAATCAACCATTAATGCTGTGACATGGATCTATTTAGGAATCGTCCCACACATTTTTTCCTTTCAATTCACTCCTAATTGTACTGTCTTGTTCAATAAATAAAATTGACATTGGAATTGGCAGACACTGAAATATTTGCTTCCTGAAAACCACACGTTTCTCAATGTTTTTTTGATTCAAAACCATTGCGAAGTTGACAATTAAACCAAACTACATTTTTTTGCCAATATGTACTAACAATTTTTTGTGAAAGTTTTCTGAAATCTGAAATTTGCTGTACCAAAAAAACGCAGAAATATCAAATTGAAAACAAGATATATCGAATATGGCCCCAACTAGCCTATAAATGCGATGGTGAAACAAACTTCCAGATGTCGTAAAATTTCCGATAAAACAACCCGTTTTCCAGCTTTGTCCTACATACGTTTCAAATAAAACTTGATTTTTGTTCTCATTGCACGGTTTGCCTGGTAAGGTGTTTTTAGCGCATTTAATCCCACGAAATAGAAGTGGTTAAAATAGTTTTATTGGGAGTCTTAGAAGCTCAAAAGCTTGTCTGAGCTCACGCTGGGTTTTTATAGTTCAGTTATGGCTGACTAATTGGCTGATTTGTCACTTTTTTCAAGCTAATTTGAAATTGAAAGTTCTATTGAAAGAATCTATCTAATTAGTCAAATCAGCAGAATGAAAGAATTAAAGTTTTGTCTTATAGGCGGTGTAAGCAATAATTCAAAATTGTCATGATGCACTTTGTGCTTAACATCAGCTTTGAGATAATCAGATAACGATGGATGTTGCTCTTTTCACTCATAAAATGAAGGATTAAACCAGCTTTAATGGGAAAAACAATTTAATTATAAGACTTATATTTTCTTTTTTTACCAGCGAAAAAATTTGTGTAGAAGAACAACATTTTTGTAATGGCGTCTGAATGTGTCCAGGATATAAGCAAACAAACCTTGCAAATATACATCAAAATCTTTATTACCTTTCGATTAACTTATAAATCAGCAGCCAAAATATTTATACAAATTAGAAAAGAAGTTAACTAATTTTTTACACAAACACATATACATGTATGTGCCTGCATTGTGCCAATACAAAGTTTCTTTGTTGAGTGAACGAAAAAATTATTCTGCAAATAAGTCAATTACTATAATGTGTAAAATAAACAGTTGCAGTTGATTAATTGATAACATGTTCTTAATCTAAACACGAAATATTAAAAGATCAATTATAGACAGAAAGAAATGATGAGAAGTTTCCAAAATCAATACTGCATATGTATTATTGTTATTATTCATTTATTAAAATGGTTCCATTATCGCTGAACTAATTTTAGTAATATTCTGTTTGTTGCGAACTTTCAAGAACTGTGATCAAATGATATTTTGTCCGACGTTGCGTGTGCATCTGAAGCAAACATCCTCAAAGCAATACATAATGAGAAAATAGATAAACGAAAAATCAATTGCCCTGCTGTGTTAAAGAACGCCAAGTAGAACTAATAGTAAATGTAGCTCAATCAAGTTTCTTCTTCTTCTTCATGTGCGATTTTTGCTTGCGTGTTCAAATATTACTTAAACATTGTGTAGAGCCGTAGGGCTGAAAATGCGAAATTCCGGCCACTGCGGAGTTTCGGGAACAGTGCGCCCTTGCAGCTGATAACCAGTTCGAATTTGCACGTGAGACTTCACATAAATGTCATGAGTTCGCATAAAATTATCTCGGGTTTAGTATTCCAAAGGATCCTTCTCGGGAAAATTACTTTCTGCTCTTGTGCTCTACGACTCTCTCTCTCGCGACCCTACAAGTATACGCTCGTATTGCCAACACCAATAATTCAGATAAATCATTATTTAATAAACGCCAACTAGGTGCTGGTTGGGCAAACAAAACATCGCGAGATCTTTGTTATCCTGCAGCTCCTCCCAACTTCACTCACGGTTCACTAAGTCAGTCTCAATCACTTTGGTCCTTCGAATAACGCGTTTTCCCCGCACGAATTGGGTCCAACGAGACTCTACATTTTGGCCCTGCGAGCCGAATCATTTCGGTTTTGTGAGACTCTACAGTGCTCCTTTTTGTCCGCCATTATGGAGGTTGACTATCATCATTAGTACCTATTTTGATTCTGGAAACTACAGCCCTAAATAAATCAGCTGACATGATATTAAG